TTACTATAAGAACAACCCGTCAACCATGAAGAAACGAAGGGCTACCTCACAAGGAACATAACAACCCGGTTCTTACAGAAAGAACTCGGGAATCTCATGAACAACCAGGACTATAGCCGAAAAATGAATAACAACTCAGAAGACAAGATTCTTTCCATTACAAGTGGCTTAAAAAATAGAAGATTACACATCTTACAAGACCCAACAAACTCGGTACTACAACAATCAAGGTAGCAAAGAGGAACCCGGACACAGCTAGGCTCTGGAACGACTACGTGTCCCAAATTGCTACTCGGTAGAACAAACCGCGCTCGGCTACACTATTTTCTTCAAAGGTCGGACGCAGTGCATCTAAGGCGGAAATCAGTAGCACGGCGGGACAACATAGACCAGGGGAAGTCAGCAGGCATCTGTCTACCCAAGCCCGATGTGATGCAGGATCAGGTGTTGATCTGCACCGGACAGTCACAGGGCGGGCAAGGAACATCAATCCAGAACTGCTGGATGAAGGAACGCATCCCACATCACAAGACTTCCTCCAACTACCACCACGTACTTCCAAATACAATGCTGCTACGGGATTAGTCTACCTCTAATCCCTATCACAAGACTTGCTCCAGCTACGACAAGACGCACAGGAACTATAAAATACGCCCGGGGGCTGCTCTACTTCACAAACTACCATATTCATGACTACGAAGGCTTCAACAAAATGTTTAATTGATGAAAACAAGCACTCCGAGAGGGTATTTATAGATCGAAGGAGCGGCGCACATGGACTAGGAGTACCAACGAAACAAGCCTAAAGGACACAGTGAAAAGACAGGACTCAATAATGGAAGACTCAGGTGAGAAGGAATAATACTTGAAGACGAGCATATTCGGAAGAATATGCCAACACTGTACAACCCGTTAACAGGCAACATTTACACTCAACCACCACCATACAACTACACCTGACAAACAGCAGACTACCAGAGAATACGCCAAGACAATGCATCCGAGTTCTTTTTGAATCAAAGAACCCGGAGAAATGCTCAGAGGCTGCAACAGGGGAAGATTTCAGTTCCTCGAACAAATCAGACTCAAGACCCTCCAACTCTTTGTTCCAAACAGCAAGAGGCTTGGAGGCTACACTCAGTGAGTGCACTTTTTCTTCAAAAAAGCGTACATCACTCGAAAGGCTTTTTCAAGACAGCAATTTTTAAACAATATAAGATTTAAGACCCTCCAGCTCCTTGTTTCAAATAGCAAGAGGCTCGGGGGCTACACTCAGTGGGTGTACTTTTTTCTTCGAAAAAGCGCACGTCACCAAGAAGACTTCTTCAAGACAAAACTACTTCAAGGACTTATGACAAAAAGAAGCTGGACCAAGCTATATCCGAGTTCTTTTTGACAGAGAACCCGGGTACATGCTCGGGAAAATTTCAACGAATGATCAGAGCGATTTCAAGACAAGACCCTCCCGCTCCTTGTACCAAATAGCAAGAGGCTCGGGGGCTACACCCAAAGGGGAGTACTTTTTTCTTCAAAAAGGTACACACCACGCGAAGATCTCACAGAGCGCTACACGGTTTCGCTCAAGAAAGCACTCGGACAACGCTTGTTCCTGCTCGGCAAGACCTGAAAGAACAAGACGAGGCTTCCAGAGCACAACCATGAAGTGCTCGGGGGCTTGTCGGCGCGGAACCCACAGGATACCCCGCAAGGAAGAGAGAAGATCTAGTCTAACTAGGATTCTCCCCATGTAATCTTAGTAGTAATATTATTCTGTAATCCTACTAGGAACTCTCATTGTAAACCGACTAGGATTCTGACCTCCTGATTATTTAAAGGAGGGTAGGATCCTAGAGAGAGACGACTGCGACGACAACAACACAATCAATACAACGCAGAGGCTAACGCCGATCGGACGTAGGGCTATTACTCGATCAACGAGCGAGGTCCCGAACCAGGATAAATCGACTGTCTCTTGCGTTCACCGTCGAGTTCCGTATAAGCCGAAGCCCGAACATACTGTCCTGAGTAACCCCGCGACAGACTATCGGTGATAAAACATCGACAGATGTGTTCATAGGCTTGTTTGTTTACCGCCCCAAATCATTTGCCCGAAGAAAGATGCTGCCTATATGTTACCTGCAAATCCATTCGATTTTGTCTGGCCAGGCAACCACATGGGTGACTGTTTGGTTCAAGCTCACTGCCTAGAAAAGAGAGTCGTGGGCCCCTGGAGAGTTTTCACGGTGATTAAAGCCCAGGCAACGGCAAGCAGCAGCCAGACAGTCGATTTTGGTTGCCTGGGGAAGAAGCATCTGCCTGGTCCAAGCTGTTGTCCAGGGCTTCAACCAAATACCTTCCGGGCAGATTACAGGCAACAGATTTTCTAGGCAAAAGTGACTCAGGGCTGCATCAAAACAGACCCAGAGTGCCGCATATGAAGGCACACTCAGAGCACGAGTCCGTAGCTCGTGTGCTGGTGGCACGGTGCGCGGTACGTGCACATAGCAAACCTAAACTTTGTTTAAGATTTGGCAAGTATAGAATCTATCTCACAGTTTTTGAGTTGAGACTGTCGTAATATTTGTTGTTTTAGCTCTCTGGGCATGGTGATTAAAGAGAAGTGAAAAATATGTTGTGCACAGGTACGAAAAGGAAAAAGACCTAGATAGAAATGTATTGGTAGAAGAGAAATTCGTATTAGAATACCTCTCGTTAGTGTCATAGTCTGTCTATTTAGATGGGCTAAAAATAAACTTGAGTCCTACTAGCTGCTAGAATCAGAAAAGACCCTTGTTGGAGCATATTGTTGTAGAGTCGAGCGAGTTGTTCGGCCGATGATCAAGCAAAAAAGCTAAGAGGGCGAAGAAAGGAGTCTAGGTCTAGTTCACTTTGCAAAAAAAAATTGAACCCGATGAATAGTACCACTTTCGTCTTATTTAGCAAATATTATCCAATCATGGACCAACTAAGCTCAAAAGATTCATCTCGTGATTTCCAACTAAACTATGTAATTAGTTATTTTTTTTATCTACATTTAATACTCCATATAAACAGCTAAAAATTGATGTGATAGAGAGAGTGAAAAAACTTAGAATTTAAATGGCATCTGCGTAGGTAGGAGCACGGCAGGCACGCAGGAGATGGGCGATGAGAAGTGTACTGGTGTCAAATCGAACCAAGTGAAATCAATGGATGGACAGGTTGAAGGAAGGATTGGAGGTGATATACGTACTCCGTCTACTGCTAGTACGCACTAGTATATAAAATTGGAGGTGATTGTGCACGTACTCCGTACGTGGTGCCGGCATAAACAAAGCATTTCGCGCCGAACGGCCGCACTGTGCTGCACGCCGCACGCTCCACTCCTCCACTCGCCACCTCGTCGTCGTCCTCCTCCCAACTTGCCCGCCGTTGCCGCTGGATGTATCTGCTCCTCTCCTGCTCACATTAATTAATTAATCTATCTAATCGTATGACGACGCCCATGCAATGCACTCCCTGCTTGCTTCATCCATCCATCCATCATCGCCTTTGACTGCTCATACATCATCCTCCTCTTCGCAAAAACATTTGGCCTCTAGCTTCCTCCTCGGCTCCTCCTTACTTATCAAAAGAGAGGGGAAAAAAAACAAAAACAAAAACACTTGGCCTCTTCCTCTACTAGTAGTAGTAGTACACTTCGTGTCTTCATCAGTTACTACTGGGAAGGAGTCCCTGTGTTTCAGTTCAGTCTGCTTGCAATGCAAAGCTTTGGCCTCGAGTCCTCGTCTCGTTGTCTGTACGCTTGCTTGGCATTGCTTTCTCTGGTTTTCTGCCAAGGCGGGCGCAGTTGCTGCTGCTTCCGGGGGCCGGGGCTGAGTGCTGACCAAGACAGATACTGAGGCTGGAAAGCTGCAGGTGGCCGTGGCAAACAAACGAGGGCTTTGCGTTCGCCGACAGCGCACTGCCGTCTCAACCGTTGCTGCAGCTCACCAAGGGAACCAGACAGGGGAAGCAGCCTACCATGACCTTCAGAAAAACAACCACAAGCAGCAGCCGGGCAGGCAGGCAGTCAGAAGCCGCCATTGCCATACGGTCCTCCTGGGGAACAAGCACATGCGATGCTACCAAACCCAAACCATACCCCATGCCGTGCTTATTCTACTAGCATGAGATCACACGTTTATAACACAGGTGAACACACGCTGCCTGTCATCAAGATTTTTTTTATTTTTAACACTTTTTTGAAACTATTTTCAAATATGACACTGTTTATTTTTTTCAAAAAAGTGTTAAAAAAATCGTCATCAACAATCAAACTTGCGCACGCTGACAACAATCAAACTTGCAGTTACGAGGAGACGACGCGCATGCACGAGGCAGTTGCCCACACGTGCACACGGTTGTTGGCCCGGCTCCTGGCTCCTGGGTATGCAGTGCAGCTACGTACACCAAGAGCCTTCACATTCAGTCAGTCGGTCAGTCACAAGGTTACATTACACCATGCTACGGAGCTGACAGATGAGATCATGGGGATGGCGATGTCAACTCTCTCTACAAAAAAACAAGCAAAAAACAACTCCCACGCCGTGTCGCTGAAGCAAAGGAGAAACCCTTGCATCATCCGCATTGATCACACACTCTGCACCGAAATCCAAGGGGGGCACAGGCAATGGATCAGGCCAACGCCGTCCTTGTTGAACTGAACCAGGGCCTTGTAGATACCCTCAAAATTCCAAAATTTTTCACTCTCTCTCCATCACATCAATTTTTAGCTCTTTGCATGGAGCATTAAATGTAGGTAAAAAAATTAACTAATTACATAGTTTAGTTGGAAATCACGAGATGAATCTTTTGAGCTTAGTTGGTTCATGATTAGACAATATTTACCAAATAAGACGAAAGCGCTACTATTCATCGGTTTGAAATTTTTTTCAATCTAAACAAGGCCCAGATATAGATCATCATGTTACGCCAGGGAGCGGCGGGATCAGACAGCAACAGCGGCTCTGCCGACCGGCCTAGCCGAGCCACGCAGTGGCGCGGCGCTCGCCGCCACCGCTGACGCTGTGCCGGATGCTGATCTTCTCGTGGGAGTACTTCTCCTGGAGGTACTCGAAGGCGTTCACGTCCAGCTTCCCGCTCACCGACTTGCCCTGCTTCCGCCGGATCTGCTGCTCCTTGATCGAGTTCCACAGCTTCACGATCGCGTCCCGCTGCTGCCGTGTGAACCGGGCCGCGTTATCGTACGCGTGCTTCGCAAAGACGTCAATGGCGGTTTGCGTCCTGACAACCAAGATATCATTCAATACAAAATATATAAAATATAATACTGAGCATGTGGATGGATGATGCTCTATCAGACAAGAGAACTCACCATGGGATTCTGTAGCGCCGAGCGGATATTTCCAGGCATTTCAGAAGGGCCTCCCGCTGTGACTTGAGAAATCTCTTTGCTTCCTCCTCGTCTGCTTTTCTGTTCAGAGCTGCGACTGCCTTTTCTCGAGCTCTCTCAGACTTCTTCGGCTTGTGCTCAAGAAGACCATCTAAACCGAAAGGATCAGAAGATTCTTCTCCTGGCTCTGAGGCTACCGCATGTGTGCTATCATCTGCCACAGAGTCAGAAGCTGCAGCTGGAACACCATGATCTGTTTTGTTGTCCGTCACTGCATCAGTTTTGCTTGCAGCAGCAAGAGCCGCAGCTTCATCGTTGTCATCATCCACTGTTGCCACTGGCAGGGTTGAGATTGCATCTTTGATCTTTCCTACAGCCTTTGAGAACTACAAAAATAAAAGAAGAATATGGTTCAAGCATCAGTATCCCCAGGGTGATATGTATTGGGTTATGGCAGCATGTCTGATGATTGCATATCTACAGCAGCTGCCAAGTACATCTAGTAAAATATTTCATACTTAGGTTGTCAAGATAAGCAACACGTGGTGTTCAGAGAAAAATACCCACCACAAAACTGTCATCAGTGAAAAGATCATTAGCCACCACTGCATGCAGCACCCATATGTCAAATTGTTTTTTCTGCTGTTGGTTGAATAACTGCACATTAATCACAAGTTGTTAGTTAAAGTAGTGAAACACATAGTGACCTGACACAACTGAGCGACTATTTGTTTCAGGTACATCAGAAAGTTCACCTCTGTTACACCCTGAGCAGCATCAAACAATTTGTGGTAGTCTGCTCGTACAGAAGGCTCATTGCATGCTCCCGGTGAAGACATCGCAGCCTCTAGTATAGCAAAGAAATGACCGATTGTTCCAGGCTTGACACTTCCAGCCTCGATAAGTTGCAAAGCTAGTTTTGATGCCTTGCTGAATTTAGAAGTATTCCCTATGTGTGAAGCTATCTTCTGCATAGCCTCAATCACTTGTGTTTCTGATGCATCAACGGTTGTTCTGAACCGAAGACGTTTCTCGGGGACTGCAAGAGAGTATGAAATTTAGGGCATAATAACTGTCTGCCAAGTAAAGGAGTTTGCTTATTTGTTCTTATTATGACAAGAAATTGGTCAGAGGAGGCCACTACATATAAAAAAAGATGGAAAATAACAAGCAAGAATTTGAGCAGGTCAGATTGTCACTATTTTTTTCCTTGCACATATCGCTGCCACTGGCACAGTGCAATGCACTAAGTGCTAGCCCAGTTAACGGTCAGTTATGAAAACAGAATGCAGAAAGGCTTACATTTACCCATGAGAGAGTTAAAGGAAACCAATGGCAGACATCATCTAATGGTGTAATCAGGCAAATACATCCAGCACAGCACTAAATGGAAACTGCGAAGCCTACTACGTGGGAACACATCACTCATAGGTGTGCCTTCTTGCAAGTAACACTACAAAAACTCAGTGAGCAGAGGTTGGTATTGGTAGTGACAAAATCAACACACAGACCTCTTCATAACTTAAAAAAGCAGGTGTGAATTCCTATCATTGCCCTGAACATTGTGGACGGGTTAAGTTAAGTGCATCAGTAACTCTAGCATACACCTATGCTTTTTTTATTCTAAAGAATGAGAGGAAGCTATTATCGTCCTGGTGAAAAAGCAAAACTAAGAGGAGGTTATCACTACTTGGATCTTACATAGGCCCTAGTAGCAGTAGGACTACGAATCACATCGATCTTACTAGTGTGCCACATAATCCAGGTAATTTGCTCAACAAAGCCATTCTTGTTGCTTCACCAGTAACAAATCTCAAGCCACCCAACCAATCCAAACCACCCGAACTGAAACGACCTCTTTCTCCCCTTTTGCCCTCGTTGAGCTCGACCTGGGATATGGCCATATGGGAACGGGGGTAGTCAAATCCCGTCCTGAAATCCCCTCCTCTGTCAGCCTCGACCTGGGAAATCGCAACTCAACCTGAATTCAGGCCCCTTACTATCCGGTTGCTGCTCAATCCTGATGTGCTACTCAGTCTCCACTTGAAGTCAAGGGGGCCCAATTAAACGATTACGGGTTCCAATTCAAAGCGACGGGAGCAGGAGCAGTAGAAGCCGCGGATCATTCGGCTTGCAAAGTAAAGGAGGGTACGGAGCAGAGATCTCACCATGGGATTCCGGCGCGGCAGCCGCGGGGGCCGATGGGGAAGAGGTAGTAGCGTCGGCGGAGGGGGAGGGCTTGCTCCGCTTGAGGGAGCTCTTAAGCGCGGGCTTCGGTGCCGGCGCTGGCGCCGAAGGAGGAGGAGGCGGCGGCGGAGCGAGGGAGGCCGCGTCAGCTCCGCCGCCGGCCGGGGCGGCGGCGGGCGGAGGCAGGCCGTCGAAGAGGTCGTCGGAGGCCATGGACGGGGTTAGTTTGATTTGGACTTTGGAAGAGGTAGAGACCAGAGAGAAGAGGAGAGCAAACTACGGGCCTTGGATTTTGATTGCAGCAGCAGGAATTAAACACGGCCCGGCCCGGCCCAGCTCCGGCTACGTATGGGCCTTCTGCGGTCAAGAATTCCTCCCATACACTTGCTTATTAAAAAAGGGACTTTTTTTATGCGTTCCTACGGGTAAAAAACCGAAATTTCTATTAAAAAATCATGAGATCATACACGTTTTGAAAAATATAAATCAGTGGTTCCCTTCATGCATAAAATCTGGATTCGCATTGGTGATGATAATCCTGTTTTCTTTGTTGCGAATGCATAATTGGCAAACCATCCATTGGCAGAAAATGCAAGCTGCCGAACTTTATAAGTTTTCATTCTTACATGGTTTCATTTCCTTCTATCTTCATGCTGCTCCTTGTTTCAACCTCCATATCACGATTAACAACAAAAAAGATCCTATCAGGATAAGAGTATCATCAAAGCCAGTGGATACATGGCTGGTGCAGTCACATTAACCAAGAAGCTTTCGGTCACTTCGCATTGAGTGATCATCGACGAAGAGGAACCTAGGACTGCACATGAGGAGTCTGAAGGAAGAGAAACTGCATGGAAAGCAAACCCTGGTTTAAATAAATTCACACGATAGAAGATCTAATGAGCCAGATAGTTCTTCGTGACGATATAGGCATGTACCTCAAAGGACTTCCCGGATCTCTCATACTCGAGCATACTGAGAGCTACTTCACAGCTCTGCGAGACTATGGGCTCAGAATCCTTTGCAAACTCCTCCAGAAGCACAATGCTTTCTTGGTCTACAACACAGCACGATCACAGTCTCAGGTAACTAGAGAATGTCTATGCATGGACTGGAGTTGGTAAATGACATTCTGCCAAAGCTTGCAGTATTGGTTACCTGCGATTGAGCCAAGGGCTTCAGCAGCTTCATGCCTGACCATTGGATGCTCACATACATCCTTCAGGACTGTAGAAAGTGCATCTGAAGCGGCTTTATTTTGCAGCTGACCTAACACATAAGCAACCTGTAGAATAATACCAAGAAAATGGTATTATATTCGATAAAACCAAAGACATTGGAATGCAAAGAGAAAAAATACTTAATTTCTTGAGAGGAATATGATGTTATGACCTAGTTGAATCAGGCAATGTGCACACTAGGTCTGAAGCAGTTTCACACCACCAATCCTATTATCCTACCCAGATTTGTTACTATGTTTCTTCTTTTCAGAAAGGGAAACACCAAACTTCGACTCCATCAATAACAGACAAATTTCTTGAGGATCCTACTGACCATAAACTAAGAGGTTGTGACTGGATGTTGTCCGATCTAACATAACAGGGCTGACAAACAACTGACATGTGACATCACATATACTAAAAAAAATAGCTGCAAGGCTGCTCAGGTATTCAGGTTTGTGCTCAACTTCAACTCTATTTCAATTTATTATGCCAGTTCAAAATTTTCAAGTGTAAATGTTCAATAATCTAGATTGCCAGAATCTAAAGAAATAAGTTGCGAGCCAACAAAAAAAAATCCAATAGAATTCAGAATAATTTTTGCCAAAACAAAGAAAAATTCAAAGGATACATTGCTGGTTGCTTGATTTATGATTGTATACAAAAGTATGATAACATGGATTAGCCAAATTTTGAGGAAACCTCGTGACGTAGAAGAGCACTTTTGACGCTCAGAGCTGCAACAATAGCAGAAACAGCAGCATCTCCACCATCATTCCTAAGTGCAAAAAGAGCTGCATACCGTTCGTACATGCTCTCTTGCTCATTGAGAAGAAGATCCCTGAAAAACATCCACCATGTTGACAACGGAAAGGCTATGTAGGCATAGGATACAATCAACACATGTAAGAATCCTTTGAAAGTTGTAAATAATACCTTAATTGATCTACTGAAAGTCCATGCTTTGCAGGCAGCGCTGGATCAACTGAGAGGAAGGGTGAACTGGTTGTACTCTCAGCCCCATTAGCTTTCTTCTGCTCTTCTATTCGTCTTAGTGCCAGCTCGCAAGTTTCTTGTACCTCCACAGCAGGATCAGTTGTTAAACTTTCCTCCAACAGGGGGATGCTCTTTTCCAGGCCAATAGCTCCAAGAGCTTCAGCTGCCTAACCAATACACATACACAATTATTTAACATGGATATTCAAGTACTAGAAGCAGCATATAACATCGATTTCACTGAGTACCTCATGGCGTACAATTGGATGTAGAGAAAGATCTTTTAGAACTGCCACCAGCGCAGGAATAGCCTCAGCATCCTGCATTTGTCCAAGTGCAAATGCAGCCTCATGGGCAAGCAAGTTAGAAGGATCCCTTGCAGCTGAACAATTTACAAAATATGTCAGGTTTTCTTAAGCACAATCCTTTGATCTCTAAAACACTAAGTTGAAGGAATCTGACGATGCACAGCTAGTAGTGCAACAGTAGGTGGTTGCAATTCAGGCCCTTGATGTGCTTTTCACTTCTTGCATAACTAGTCTAGTACACTTCTTTTTCAGTTATGGACTACTAAAAAAACATTAATAGAAATTTAAGAGCTAGCAGCTTTGTATGTAATGGGCACTGTTGACAGCAGACTAAATTAATAGCGTAATCTCACAATTATACATATCAGTAAAGGAACAAAAAAGGTGGCAGGCAACAAAACTTTCAGGAAAATAACATGTACTGCATAGCATTAAATATTAAATAACCCGAACCAATGAAACAATACAAAAATTTGAGATAAACAAACACTCTAAATAGTTCGAGAAAAACAAACACTCTAAATAACAAAGGTTAAATTTAGCTAGGTGGTCAGTGACTCAGTGCTAACTTCCTTTGGTGCTGGCCAAAATGTAACTCAAAGTTAAATTTTCTAGCATCATCAGTTCGTCACCTCAGCACTAGTATGGACTGTAAGGACACTAGAGTTTGGAACTAAACCAGCGAAGTACCTAGGACCAATAGTGCTGCAATCAAGGCACCAAATTAGTGAACCACAGCACGGTATCCACTGCATCTAGTCTATTAGTTCGGGAAAGCAACAGGGACCAGAAATCTGTTGCACCGGTTGCTAAAACCAATCCACAAGCTGCTAAAGCCTTCTTTTTTTCAGATATAAGGAGCTGCTAAAGCCTTCAACCAAGCTTTGAAGAGTAGCGAAGCCGAGTAAGTGAAGCGTGGTGAGAGTGAGACCTTGGAGGAGGGCGCGGCGCGGGGCATCCCCGCGGAGGTTGCGGAGGGAGAAGAGCGCCCGGAAGCGCTCCGCGATGGGCTGCTCCGCGTCCAGCAGCCGCTCGCAGAGGAACCGCTCCATCTCCGGGGACGATTCGAACGCGGAGGTGGCCGCCATCTCACGCCGGCGATTCCGTACGGTTCTCACGCTCCGGCAAAGGTGGTCAGTGGTCACTGGCGGCGGCGGCGAAGGAAATCCCGTGTCGGAAAGAAAAGGAGAAGATGAGGACGAGCTCGCGTCGAGGCGACGCGGACCGTCCGATCGAAACGCGCCACGTCACCTCTCCGAACGGACGAACGACAGCGACCTATCCTTACAGGCTCCTCTCGCTGCCGGTGGGTCCCAACGCCTTTGGCCCAGATCCTGGCCCACGTGGCAGTTACACGCTACTTGTGTAATCTCACGTCGGCGAAGCGCGTAGCACCAGCATTTCCTTCTCGCCCCCTTTGCGGCTTCTCGCAGCGCTGCGAATCCCAAATCCGCGCTGATCCGACGCGAATCGATCGAGAGGTGAGCTCGCTGGATTCCCCCGCAGATCCCCGCACTCGCCCATCCCTCTCCGGAATTTTCCCTCTGCTTTTTCGTGCTCTTGGCGCCCTCTTCGGCGATTTGTTTCTCTGATGGGTTTGGGGTTTGGTTCCTGCAGGTAGGAGGCAGCACGATTCGGATTGAGACGAGCGCCATGAACCCGAGAGGGTAAGATTCTGCGCCTTTTTGTTGCTTTGAGCTTGGGATTTCCTGACATGGTGTTCGGATTTAGGGTTGATGAGCGCGTGCGATTTGTTAGTAGGACCCAATGTGGCTGCCTCACTGGATGGATATACATGCGATTAGTGCGATCGGTACGCTGCATTTGTTAGGGGTTAAGATGAGTGATTAGTGGTGCTTTTACTTGTTCCTTGTAGATAATTCAGTTGTTGTTGTCCTGTAGTTATGGTTGAGGAATTCCCTGCAAAAGACAAATCGTTTGTTGTATAGGACAGTTTCATTTCCCGAGCTCTAAGTTGGTTGAGGATCATGAATATAGGTTTATCAGACATAGAAGTTGGTTTCACATGATTATTGACTGGGCTTATTTTGCTTCTCTGTCCCAACAGACCAATGAATTCGTAACTTGGGACTCTAAGAGCTACCATTCTAAAGCTACTGATATCTATGTTTATGCGTGCTGATATTTCTCTGCTTCAACACATTGATACTTTGCTCACTATCAGCCTCATGGTCAAAATTCTTTCTGCTAGTGCCGTCAAAAAAAAAAAAAAAAAAAAAAAAAACTTTCTGCTAGATCTTCTCTCTGTCCCTCTCTATCTCTGTCCCAAGCTCTGTAGTCTGTAGTTGTGCATAACACCGCATCTTTACAAATAATCCAATTATGGAAGGGGATGAAAAGGATCTGCTGGAGCAATATAGCTATAATTAGAAAAATATAAGACATGGTGATCCTCGTTCGGCATAATAGCAGTACATGAATTTCACCTAGACGAAATGGACAGACTCTCGCTATGGCAACTATGGATGTCAATTGTATTGCTAATTGGGGCTGATATGTACTACCTATGTCTTGCCTAGTTATTATCGCACATCCTTTTTTTGTCACCTTATAGTAGTTTTATGTTGTACCAAAGCATTTTAGCAGACAATGTTTTGACTTATTTCGTGATATGGGTCCAGAGAACTGTGTTTGTCGGTCCATCACAGAGTATGCAAGTTCCCCGTTTCTGATTCGTGGGCAATATATGTTTTATAACTATATTGTTATAACGAATATGGATTATTGTTGAGCTGAGTCGACCTTTGTTAAAATTAGAGATAGAAATCAGACTTCAGAAGTATGCACCCTTTAGGGAAACACATATGTTTTTCTCAGTTTAAATGCAATTTATAGTTTGGATTGTTTCAACATATTTGTTCAGCTACTTTATCAAATGAATAAGGTTGTTTGTTGTTATTCATCACTGTGATACAAATATACAACCGCCTAGGTCATCATGTACTTATCTTTGAATTTGTGAACTTGGACACATAGAAATGTTAGTCCCTGGTTATATATTTGTGAATCCCTTCATACTTCTGATAATGTGGAATCCCATTTTTATCTGAACATCCTATGTTAACTGTTCCTTTGTGAAAAATTCATTAGAGTACTTAAGTTTAATTTGCATGTGCTGATGTGGATATTCTGGACCCCTTTCACTTTGCAATTATTCTGTATGCACCCTTTGTCTATTGATTATATGCCCAACCCTTATATTGGTTATTTTATGCACTTTGTGCAGCTACCGTAGCAACAGAACTTCTCTCTTCGATGGCATTGAGGAGGGTGGAATCAGAGCAACATCCTATTCTTCCCATGAGATAGATGAGCAAGAAAATGATCGAGCTATTGATGGACTGCAGGATCGTGTCAGCATTCTCAAGCGGGTATTGTGCCATTTAAACTTCTTAATGTTCTAATTCCATTGATTCTATTATGTAAATAATTGTAGGTATTATCATTATTATTAGTAGTAGTATATTTACTAGCTCAAGCTGTGTTGCATAGATAAGATAATAAAATAAGTTTATTAAAACAATACTGTGTTCCTTTAAAAATAGTTCCTCCCTGCTGCAGCTGTAGTGCATAGTAGCAGTAGTAGTGTAGATCGGGGATTCTTGTCAACCGTGTGCTTTCCTGGACCAGTTTGGTTTTAAATATTTGAAAGTAGTTCAGCACAGTTTTCTTGTTAAATTTTACCAAAAAGGAATATGATTATCTGACGGGCTTGCAATTATGAATTTGTGGCTGCATTAATGCTATCTGAATATTTCGTTGGCCAAACTTTTTTTTTAGTGTGGTATGCATTTGGTAGCTAACAACTAGAATGTCTACATTAATAAGGTATGGCTTTCTTTAAAAGCTAACGACTAGATGAGATATAGAAGGATTCTTATGTAATTTGGTACGCTTGAAAAGCACTGGGAGTAACCAGCAAATAGGAAGTCCTGGAGAATATCTGGACATGGGTCATGTCATGATTCTGGTGTAACTATGTCTCTTTGTCAATCTGATTCTTTCTGTCTGACGTCAGTGTAGACATTCTCCAAAGTCCAAATTAACAAATATGATGAGCAGCAATCTCTATTAAGGTTTAGGGTGCTTTGCTCATTTTATTAATGGTATGCTAGAAAATAAATAAACATTCAAACATCCCATCCATTGACTAGTTTAAGTTTGCTGGAATTGTTCTAACTTTAGGATTCTTTCCCCATTTATCAATCTGGATAAGTTTCTAGACAACTATATATTTGTTATTAGGTACTGAAAGCTCTTTTACTTTCCTGTAGTTGTCAGGTGATATCCATGAAGAGGTGGAGACTCATAATAGAATGCTAGACCGAATGGTATTTGCCCTTTTTTTTGTTGTTGTAAGATCTGAATCTACTATCCTACTCCCTTACCATCATGCCTGATTCAGGGGAATGATATGGATGCATCAAGGGGTTTTCTCTCTGGAACCGTGGACAAATTCAAGATGGTAAGCGACAAGAGAAACAATTACTAGCACGTAGTTCATCTGTCCCTTGTGCCCTTCCGAGATGATTCATGTGTGAATGAACATGATACAGGTGTTTGAGACCAAATCAAGTCGGAGGATGGGAACCCTCGTCGCATCATTTGTCGCCCTTTTTCTGCTGGTTTACTACTTGACCAGGTAGAAGCATCCTCAGTGAAAGCTCTGTGGGCTGGCGTGCTCAAGAACATGCTGTAAATGGATGTGCTGATCTGCATACTGTGCCGTATATACCTTGAAAACTCACTGTCCTGAGTGCAAAGTATGTTGATGTGGGTTTCGTGAACTCTGCACTGTATAACACGACTACAGCGTGTTGGGTTGATCCTCTGCTCTGTTGCTGGAGCTACAGAAAATGGATTAAAGTTTGTTGTCCGTTCCTTTAGCATGTTATGTGTGTGGACGAATGGTATTAGACTATCTCCAACAACGTCATCCAAAATACAAGACTCATTCCATGTTTGGGTAGTACTGCAGGTAAAGGGTTTAATATCTATGTTTGGTCTTCTTCAACAACAGAACCCAAAAGAGAACTCTTACTGCAAATGAGTCTCCAGAAAAGAGGATACTCATATTTAGATTGTGCCTCTGCTGTAACCTAAAATGAGTTTCGCATATAGCTATTCTGTTGGAAGCTGATACAGTATCATTCATGATCCATTTTGGGTTTGGGTCTTCATATGGGTCATCAGACAGCCTTAGTAATAGTAGTAGCATGTGGAATCTCTACCGTGATGTATCTATAGTTGGTTACCTTGTGGCTGGACTTGTTTAATTGTAGAAGCTTTGTTTGAGCACTATGTGAGGTCGACACGTGTCGCGTGGCATCAGGCCAAACAAATTCAGATGGAAGGAATGATAATGTGGTTGCACCATGAACAACTGGTATAATAACACTTGATAAGGAGTATTATATGGTTACAAGACTTAAGGTCAGCGTGTGATTAAACGCAGGAATCACAACCAACGCAATGATCAAGGATGCAATTATTGAGGCAGTAAGATGCTCTCCATTCTTGTGGGCAAGGGAACAAGCACCAAACACCTGTAACTAGCTTAGATAATTGCACCAGCCGGTCCTAATCACATGCATGTATGCCTATACATACCTATGCCTCGTATTTCTATACTAATCTCGCTAAATGCACCAGATCTGACAGGTCGATTTTGGTTTCTAAACATATCTTGTCCTCACGGGCACCGTTATGTTTTTCCTTGTTTTTCACCAAACTCTCCTATATATGTTTGATTAATTATGGTTATTATATAGGACAAATATGGGCCAAACATGTCGAATGATACTTTAGGTTATACATCTAGTTATGTCACTTAGAGCTCGATTGGTTGTTTGTCTCGTTAGCAAGATGCTATTTGGTTGTCTGTACGAAGATATGTTGCACGAGATAAAACTATCACGGGAGAGTTAAACATGGACTTTTTCAAAACCGTCTAACTTTAAATCAACTACAAAACTGTCTAAACAGTTTTGAGAATTGAGGTGCCAAAGTTAGATAAAGGCAAGAGTTGAGGGTCAAAAATAGACTTAATCAAGTACTTTAGTTTTTT